ATTAAGTGGTGTGCTAAATTGTGAAAAATGCACACTTTATTATTGGCTTTTTGCAAATATTTCAGTGAATATCATATGTGTGATGTTAGAAAGTTGTGCTGAACTAATTCCCTTAACTAGTGTGTTAAATTGGGAAAAACGCATACTTCATGATTGGCTTTTCACAAATATATATATTTTGGTGAACATTATATGTATGATGTTAGAAAGTTGTGCTGTATTACTTCGCTTAAGTAGCGTGTTGAATATAGTTTTGGTTATAACACAACGTTAAAATAGAAACTCTGCAATGTAAGATTTTTTACTAGCTCAAGAAAGGGATAAGATAACCAAGAAACTCTTCACACAGAGATGGCAGCGACAGGAAATCTAAAGTTCCTGCCTCCTTATGGGAAAAGGCAAACATCCTTCCACCTTCTCTCCGTCTTTATGGAACCACCAGGATTAAGGGGAAGAAGTTAACAAAACCAAGAAAAATTCCTAATTTGTAAGGAATTTATGCATAATGTATGAGATATATGAACAGGCTGTTGCTTTTAAGGTTATTCCTTTGTTCACAGGGCATGTTTTTGGCAGCTCAGTGCCCAAAAACATCCAGACATCTGCAATTCTTTGCTTTGTATTGTCTTGTAATTGTCTAACTCTAAATTTTTATTACTCAAATTCTATTACTATTTTTATAACCATTTTATTATGATTAAAAAACTTTTTAAAAATTCTAAAAATGTTAATACAGCACTTCTAATCAATATAACATAATACATAATACATATAGTATTCCATTTAATATTTGCAAAAAGACAATCATAAAATATGCATTTTTCACAGTTCATAAGTGATTTTTCCTGGCGAGTCTTTACACTGGCCCCACACGTGTATTTGCAGTGTTGTGCAGGTCTGCACTTGAGCCTTGTTTTAATTGCTATGTTTGGGTGGATCCCAGCAGAAATCACAATTCCCTCAGCATTTTAAAGTCATGTTTCATGCAAACCCCAAGGGATTGGGTGACAAGGCTCCTTCATCACCCAGCAGCCTGCTGAATTATTTTTTTGTGAGTGACAGCGTGCAAAGACTCGGCTGTTGGTTCAGTGGTAATCCCAGAGGAATCCCCAACGCTCTGTGGTGGAATAAGAATAACAAAATAAATAAATTCTTGGCAACCCCTGTGGATTTTGGATGTGTCAGCAGCATCACTGAGGTTGGAAAAGGCCTCAGAGGTCACCGAGTCCAACCTGTGACAGCAACACAGCATCAAAAACAACAGAAAATCCAAAAAAACAGCCCCAAAAATGAGACAAGCGAGGCTTCCTGCAGGAAGGCCCAGCAGAGCTTGTCCTGCCCTCCCTCATCCCCAGGCAGGGGACACAGGGGTGGCAGCAAGAGGAGGTTGCCTGAAGGACATGGGAGACACTACATGGAATTAAGGAATTTGGGCAGGGCCTTGGGGTTGAACTCTCATTGAAACACTCACAGAATGTGAATGGTGAAGTGGTTACAAGACAGCAGAAACCAAAACCACCCCATTTTTTCCTTAACAGAAACCCTGTGATTTATCCCATAGATGAGAATCTTTGAAGGTTTTTTGGGTTGCCCCATTTCTTTCTCCTTCCAGTGCCATATGATGTGGGAAAATTTAGAATTTGAGGCACCCAAGGATATCTGAACTAAAGCCCAAAGTCAGAAATCAGAGATGCTGAACAGTCATCAATAAAAATTCTGTTCTGGTCTTGATCAGCTGCAAAATGAAAGAGCACATTGCATTTCTTGTTTCTCAGTTACAGCTGGTGGAAGCTATTTGGACACACATATTTTAGTTTATATTTTATATTTTAGGGTGGTTTCAGCATCCTGGTTCTCTGACACAGGTATTACTGAATCAAAAATAAAAGGCCTGAGGGAATTCATGCCTTCCTTTAAAAATGCAAAGTTTTGCACCCCACAAACTCTCATTTGCTTAGCAGCATCCCTAGGAGGTGTTTTTAACCTTTTATCTTCTGAGGGAATGCATGTTCTCCATCCCAACTGATCATGAATTGTGGAATGGTTTGGGTTGGAAAGGACCTCAGAGATCTCACTGCACCCCCGCCACGGGCAGGGACACTCCCACTGTCCCAAGCTCCATCCAGCCTGGCCCTGGACACTCCTGATCACCAAACGAGACATTAATTACACAGCAAGCAGGAAGCAAAACCTCAGCATTCCAGAATTAAAGCTTCTAAGAGAACATCTCTGAGTAAGCAAAGCCCTCAGGTGCATGAGCACAGGTGAGGACAGTGCTGTGGTTTATCCCCAGCCAGCTTTATTCTAGCGCTGGCTTTGCTTTTGCAGGGATCCCACTGCCTGATTTCCAGATTTCATCACCTCTTGTCTTAGACTGAAGAAAATGTTTTGTAGGACCTCAGGAAAACCCTTCCTTGACCCTCACATGCAAATACATCAGCACTAAAGACACACCAGGTATTTAAGTACCTTTCCAGTGCAGAGTTTTACACCCTAATCTTCCCCGAGTGCAGGTTCTGTTCTGTGTCCTATTCCATACCTGTCACTGCCAGGCATCCTCAAAGGGGTAATGATTAGCATTGACCCCACGATTGCAGAAGGCTGATCAATCACTTCATTATCCTGCACTCATTAAGAAACCCAGTGCCCTGCAGACAGTCCAACACAGTTTTGCCTCACCGGTCCTTGAATCCAAACACCATCCATTGGCCAATCACAAAACCACCCTTTGGTAAACCAATCTCCATAACACATTCCACATGTGCACAACAGGCACAGCAAGTGGAGATTAGAATTGTTTATCACTCTTTTCCCTGAGCTTCTCCCAGCCTTCCCCAGGACAATGCCTGGCATAGCTGTGTGTTGCTCTCTGTGGCCACAGCTGCTGCCACGCACGCTGATATTTTATTTTCTGCCTTACAGAATCCGAGCATCAGCTCGCTCAGGCTCTGCTCATTTTCCCTTCCCCATATTTCCATGCCATTGCTCCATGCCACAGACCCGACTGGCCAGCCTGGCCAGCCACTTCAGCATTTTCTGCAGGTGTCACTTGCAGCAATTTGCAGATGATGTTCTGTGCTCTGGTATGTGGCTGGAGCTGCCGTGGGCAAGTCCTGCTCTCCTGCTGCTCCTGGCTCAGGGATTCCATTTCAGAAATGATCAGGGAAAAACTGGAGTCCCAGGGAAATGCATGGGATAGGTTACATCTCTGACTTGCAGCTCCTGGGGCTGTATGAGAATTTTGGTGTCTTGTGTTTGGTGCACAAGCACAGCCCATTAAATATCTCAGCAAACCAAAGCAGAGGGTGGGAATATCCATGAGGCTGGGAGGCAGCAAATATCCACAAATCAGATTTTTCTGATATCCTGAGGAGACCTCAGAGATTCCCTTTGTTTTCTCAATCTGATCTTTGTTTTCTCATTTTTATCTTTTTCAGTCAAGGTGATCTGTTCTAGGAACTTCTGCATTGAAGCCTCTGAACTACAAGGAACTTTTGTATTTCCTTCCTTACTTTCATTCCTGCTGCCTAATTGCTGGGACCTGGTTTCCAGATAAACAGAATTCGGGATAGGGCTGGCTTTGTTCTGTGTCCAGCTGTTCCAAAATTTTCCTCCTGGCAGCCCTCTAAGGGCAGTCATTCACAATTTTAATTCTGGGAAAACACATTCCCATAACCAGGAATTGAGTAAAAGACACAAATTAGTTTACAAGTGAAGATAATCAGGATATAAGAGCAGGACATAAGTTTCTTAATTTCTTTAGGTTCTGAAATTTATCAAGTGAAAAGATTTATGAAGGTTCCTATTTAAATGACAGGATTTAACAGACTTCTGCAGTCTTACATTTTACCAGATTTGTCTCATTTAAAGCAGAAAAAAAAAAAAAAAAAAAAAAAAAAAAAAAAAAAAAAAAAAAAAAAAAAAAGAGCCAGACTGAGAAGTAAATTCCAGTATATGAGGCCACATAGTGGGATACAAGTTTTGTATCGCAGCTTTGGATTTTCACCTCTTCACTCAGCCCCTGCTCCACCAGTTTTCTGTAATTTGGGAAATACTTGTTAGTCATGGATGCAATAAATTCTCTAGAAAGTTCACCATGGACAAAAAAAAAAAAGAGTGAAGGTTTATTTTAATAAACAAGCACGCTGAGTAGCTGAACAACATACAGAAATCAGAATTCTACAGAGAGGGATAAAAAATAAGCACTTAAAATTCAGCTACAAAACCAGGAGAGTCAAAGCAGTTACCTGGGAAAGCTGCAAACCTTTGGGGAAAAATACCTGCTGAAGTTTCGGGGTAAAGGAAAGAAAACATTTGATCAGCGATGGGGAGAGACCTGGGGCATTGTCAGAGGATTTGAACTTCAGCCATGGAGGAGAACAGCTGAGGAAGGGCTGTGGGAGCCAGCAGGAAGGTTTGGCTGCGAGGGTGGCAGTGCCAGAGCCAGCTCGGGAGCAGGGAGAGCAGAGCTGGCACTTCTCCTGGGCTGGGCAGGGACGGGCAGCACGGAGCTGTCCTCAGCACGCTCCTGCCTGCTTCATGTGCAGGGCTCCTCTGCTCCTCCTGCAAGGAGAAACATGGGCACTGCACCAAAATCCTCTGGAAGCCTCTGCTGACAGAGGAGACACAGCAGCATTCACTGGTCTGTAAGCAGGGCACTGATCTGTAAACAGCTCCCCGTGCAATATTACACATTTTACCCATGAACCCAAGACATTGCCAGTGCCACTTCTGAATTTTTGTGTGACCTGCGTTGGCTTTGTCACGTCTCTGTTTTCATTGGACTCTTTACTGCCCAAGTTTACAGTTTCTGCTGGAATAGGAATTTGCTCACAAAATATCAGGGTTATTTTTTAGTGACTAAATCTTTAGTGACCTGCAGCAAGTTCCTCACACAAATAGAAAGAATTTTTTAGTGTTCAACTTTACAGTGCCTGCTGCAAGTTGCTCACGCAAGTATTTGTGTCATTTTTTCGTTCGCTATTTTACATTTCCTGCCAGAATAGAACATTGCTCACATGAATATCCAAGTAGTTTTTTAGTGTCCAACTTTACAATTCCTGCTGGAATAGGAAGTTGTTCACACAAATATTCAAGTAAATTTTTAGTGTCCAACTTCACCATTTCTTCTGGAATAAGAAGTTGTCCACACAAATATCCAAGTAACTTTTTAGTGTCCAACTTTACAATTCCTGCTGGAATAGGAAGTTGTTCACACAAATATTCAAGTAATTTTTTAGTGTCCAACTTCACCATTTCTTCTGGAATAAGAAGTTGTTCACACAAATATCCAAGTAACTTCTTAGTGTCCAACTTTACAATTCCTGCTGGAATAGGAAGTTGTTCACACAACTATCCAAGTAACTTTTTAGTGTCCAACTTTACAATTCCTGCTGGAATAGGAAGTTCAGACCCGAATATCTGGGTCATTTTTAGTTGCCTATTTCGTGCTTCCTGCCAGAATAGGAAGCTCTCACCCAACCATCACCACCATTTGTTGTTTAAATCAGTTGGACACGATCAGCTGGAGGAACAATCACTGTGTAAAGGCAAAGCAGAGGAGCAGAGAGGTACCAACCCTAGAGGAACCCAGCAGTTTGGGGGGTGGCAGTCCCAGCTGCCCAGCTCAGTACTCACAGCACAGCCTTGCAGAAGGAGCATTTGTTGTTGTAGGTTTTGCCGTCGGAGCCGCAGAAGGGTTGGTAGAGCCTCTCACAGTAAATGGGCCTCCCCTTCTCCAGCCTCCTGTACTCGCTGCAGTCCACCTGCAAGGAGGGCAGCCCCGAGTCCCACACCCTCTGGGCCACAAGGTAAAAACCTTCTCACAGAAAGGCATTCCACTCTCGTGCCTTAGGCCTGCTGGTTCGCCTGGGGCAGCTAATCTGCCTGGCCCCGTGAGAAAAATCCTGAGAGTGACAAGTCAGGTAACACAACAGCTTCTTCTTGTGAGAAAAAAATAAGTTTGTACCCGCAAAACCAAGAAATTGGTCCGATGAGAATCACTGAAGAGGATGTGTAAACAATCCAAGGATAAAGAGATTTGATGGGTGCACAAAATTCCATTTACTGACCAGTGAACTGATAGTGTATTGTTATCCAGCTAGGTTTAACACAGCCTTTAGAATTCCTATAAATACGAGCTGAGGGAATAAAAACTGGCTTTTTCTGCATGAAGAAACTGTGCCCTGTATGCTTTATTGAGACACATCCACCATACACAGAAATCATGAATATATGGATTTTTGGGGCAGTCAGGGGGGCTGCACCACCTCTGTTGGCAGAGGCTAAGCCCCAAAAATGAAACATTTCTGCTCAGAGGTGTGAGTGCTGCTGCCTGTGACAGGGACTGGGCAGAGGAGTAGAGTGTTGGAATTTTTTATTATCTGATCACAACAATCAGTAAATTGAGGTGGGATCAATTCACATCCAGCCCTTCCTTGGCCACTTCAGGGATGGATTCCACCTCCTCCCTGGGCAGCCTTTCCATGCCTAACCACCCTTTCCATGGAGAAATTCCTGCTGATTTGTACCAATATGGGCCCAGCTCTGTGTGTGGATGAATTTTCTCTCCCCACCACTATCCACTCTGCCAGGACTTTCCTGCTCACCCCAGGAAGGATTTTTATTCCTTGGTGCCTCATTTCTTCCAGACATTGACCCCAGAGTACTCGGAGAGAACGAAAATCTCCAGGTACCTGATTTAGGAACTAAAAGTCATCAAAAAGCTTAATAGGGTCATCAAATATTATTTTTTTAATCTAGATTTCTCTGGCTTAAAATTTGTCCTTGCCCAATTTCTTGCCCAGAATGCCAAACAGGTGAAAACATCTGGAAGTTGTCAAGATAACTCTATGGAAACCTCATATCCCCAACTCAGGAACTTTCACTGAAACCTCAATAAATTGGCAGCATTTAATTACAGTTTAACAGGTTTCTTTTCTGACCTCATGTTATCATATTACAATTTTTTTACCTCTTGTTCTATATTTTTTTATCCAGAAAAAAGGAAATCACTCACCTCCTGCTGTGTGGCAGCATCTGCAGTGGAAACTGAACCACGAAAGAGAAAATGGAAACCCAGAGTTAATGAACACTCAGGTGCAAGCCAGGATGATTTCACTCAGCAGCTGTGAATCTTTTATCCCCTTAAATGTCAATAGTGACAGGGCTGTGCAGGGGTCAGCAGGGCCCAGGTGTCAGAAGAACAAGTGGGGTTTGGAGCATTTTTTACCTCAGAAACTTGTGGCACTGTTGGAGCAGCCTTTGCTGGAGAGGGGAATGGAGCTGTTGTCCCACTGCTCAGCACAAAACCACTGACAACCCAGCAGTCAGGATTGTATTTACTGCTCATCATTAATTCATAATGATAGATAATACCTTAACGTTATTTTATATTTAATGTCCAGGATTAACTGGTGGTTGAGCATGACTGGAGTTTAATTCCTGAGCTTATCAAGAGCTGTGTGTGGCTGTGAGCAAACCACATGTCCCTTTTATATCTGTATTTTCTGTCAATAATGAGACTAAAATACAATATTGACTGTAAATAACAACGATAATACAATTTGGCTCATAATCCCACGTTAGGAAGTGTTTCCCTTGTTTCAATATAGGTTTTAAAGTGACTGGCTCCTATTTTTACCTCATTCCTCTGGAACAGAGCCCTGTCCTCAGGTGGGGCTTCAAGGAGCTCCTTCCAAACAATGCTAATTACACCTCCCACAAAGTAATCAGCTGCTTGGCGTGGCTCCATGCTGCTGACACATTTCTTACTTTCTTTAGGAATGTATTTGTCTCTCTGCTGTCCCACAATCATCATCCTGGGGCTTCCAGGGGGTAAAAGTACCAGGGAGAAATTTCTGTGCAGAAGGAGCAGGAATGTGTTCTGGAGCAGAGCTCTAGCACTTCTTTTTTGGATTAAATTTGGATTTCTTTTTTTATCTTTAAAGGTTAAACTTTCCAAATGTGTTCTGGAGCAGAGCTCTAGCAATTGTCTTTCAGAATAAATTTAGCTTTTTTTGATCTTCAAAGGTTAAATTTCCACAAAAGCTTCCTTTCATAAACCTGTTTACATCCTCACATCAAATACAGTTGTTCAGTATAAAGAAAATGAGCAGAACTAAGCTCTAGGTCAGGTTTCCATCTCTGTCACCAGAGGCTGACTGAGATTTCATTATTCTGGAATTGGATTCTATTCCACTTCCCCCCAAACGTTCAGATGTGATTTTTTCTCTGGTAACCTTTTAGGAGCCACTCTGCAAATGGGATGAATGCAAAAAAGGTGTGGCTCAGAAAGTGCTGATTCATGAGGTTTTTAAGCAGACAAGATAAACCAGAAAGTTCAAGGAAGAGATTTTCTGGAATTCTAATGGAAGGAATGTTTATTTATTTTCCTGCAGCTAATGAAACACTGAATTATTTCCATCACATTTCATTTAAACTGCTGTTTTTCATAAGAATTTGGGGGTTGAGACAAATTTCAAAGCAACCTCTTCAGAGCTATCAAAAGATTCTTTTGCTTCATGATTTTGCATTTAACATTTTCATTATTTTGCTTCTTTAATGTTCATAATGCTTTTAAACTTCTATACTACCTGCAGAGGTGTGGAGTCGTTCAGTTATTTTTAATGCATTATTTTTCTCTAAAAACACATTTTTACTGCAAGTTTTTAGTAAAAACAAAATTGCCAAGTAAAGGCTGAAGAAATTCCTCCAGATCCCTCTTTTTTAGAGCAACATGTCCCTCAAATCTCTCTGCAGCCTGGAAAAATAAGATTAAAACCACATGATTCCCAGCTGTTTGATGTGGCCTGAGCATCATCAGCTGTCCCCTGCTTGGTCAGTTTGGCAGGGGCAGGACCTCACCAGCTCCCAGCTCCCTTCTCAGATCGAAATTTAAAATTAAATTGATAAAACCAGGTGGTTCTGAGGCATCACAGCACTTTTGAGTCGCAGAACACAGCTCTGAGCTACCCCCAGCAAGGAGCAGCTTCCATCCACCCCAGCCCCAGCTGCCTTATAAACGACGATGGTGATCAAAGATCGGATTTTAACTAGAAAATTCCCTTTTTCTCCCTCCCACGCAGTGCAGGAACCACCCGAGAGCCTCGCAGGAGCCCAGGGGAGTTACTCACACGCCAGGCACAGGGCTGCCAGTGCCAGGAGCACCAGGGTGACCTTCATGGCTGTCCCAGAGCCACCTCAGCTCCCTGCAGTGGCCCATGGCCAGGAGGAGGCATTTATAGGCAGGAGCTGGTGATGGAATGCCCGTGCAGGTAATTAGGGAAGGTGTTGCCAGGGCAGGTCAGTGGGATGTGTCCTGGGCACGGGGCAGGGCTGCGTGTCCCGGTGCTGATGGAGCAGGCATTGTCCTGCCTGAGCCCAGCCTAATTAACCAGCCTAATTAACTGTTCCAGCCCAGCAGCCAGGCTCTGACTCAGGGCTGCTGCTCTGTTATTGCCGTGGGGACTCGGAGCTGAACGCAGTTCCCAGGGAAAAAATAATCCTGCCTGGGTCTTTGCCAAAATATTCATCCCAGAAGAGCTCAATTCTTATTGTTTGGGGCGTTCTGGAGCCGTTTCTCAGCTGTGGCTGGAGCTGAGCTGCTTGTGGCCATGCACTGAGCCCTTCAGCTGCTCTGGGAAATCTGTGTTCTGCTTGAAGCCCTTCACATCCAGCCCTGAGCATCCCCGGGGCTCCTTTTCCTTTCAAATGTGCCCAGTTTGGGGCCAGCCCTGATTTTTTGGGAGAGGAGCAGCAGAGACACCTCTGGGCACTGCCTGGCCAGGGCAAGAGAGGAGTTCCAGCCCTGGGCATCCCCTGAGCTCCTGCCCAGCCTTGGGCACAGGGGACATCCCTCTGCTCCCATGTCCCTGTTTCCAGCACAGCAGGAGGGATTCCTTAAACAAACCCTGCATTTGTTGGTGACTTTACCAAAAGGCAGCAATTTCTGTCTTTTATCACAGAGCCCTGGGGGAGTGCCCATGGGACACTCAGAGCTGAGGCTTCATTTTCATAAATCCAAAGTAATGTGGAGTTTGGAGGTGATAGTTTGGTTTCAACCCTTCCTTCCAGAGCTGCCTTCTCTTAGTGATTTACCACCTAAATGTGCAAAAATCTCAACAAGAAAAATCCCTGCACACCACCTCAATTCTCAGTATTTCAGCAATCACCTTCCCTCACTGCAGGGCAGCCCAAGGCTTTCTCCCTGTGCAGGATTGGGGCCAGAAGTGCTCATTCCACTAAAACAAGGGCCTGAAAGCTCCTGCAGAAAAGATTTCAATAGGTCAGGTAAGCCTTGGGCCCTTCTAACACATCCCAAGAGGGATATGAACAATTTTGTCTTTAAAGAATATAGTTGGTAATTAATAAACGTTTAATTTCTCATTGCTTAACAGGATGAAAATCATAAATGCCATCAAACCTGAATTCCAGGATGAGCAAAGATCCAGTTGGATCTGGAAGCCTGGAATTTTATTTGGTTTTGTTCTAATTTTTTTCTTTTCTTTTTTTTTTTTTTCCTTTCATAATTTGGCCATCTGTTCTTGCGAGGCTGAGAGGACAAAAGGCAGGGTGGGGTTTGTCTGGATCCCCCTGCCTGGGCCTGTCAGTGACTTTGGGTTCTGAGGAGCTTTTCTGGAGAAAATCCTGGCAAGGAACATGCAGGAACTCATGAGGAATATTCAGGACACCTCTTTGGTTGATGGACAATTATAAGCAATCAGGGCAACAGGAGCAAAACCCAAACCATGCAGGAAGTTCCCCCTGATCTGGAGGGTTTTGGGCACACACAGCTCCCAGGGGTGTCCTGACACTAAAACTGCAGCCTGGCAGATCCTGACTCTGGGATGAAGAAAGGCCCCACCCAGTGCTCCCAGTGTCCCCTGGGATGCAGCCCCAGCATCCATCCCATCCCATCCCATCCCATCCCATCCCATCCCATCCCATCCCATCCCATCCCATCCCACCCCATCCCATCCCATCCCATCCCTCTCAGGGAATACAAGCCTCTCTCTGAACCCTGCCCAGTTCATGCAGGAAGATTTTCCAGCTCTGCACTTGAATTTCAGTCCATAATTCCCAAAGTGTCCCTGGCGAGGCTGGAGCTGCTGCTCTGGGACAATTCTGGGCTCCCTGGCAGGGAAAGGCACTGAAATGCTGGAGCAGAGGCAGTGAGGGAGCACCAAGTGCTGAGGGGATGAAACAGAGGAAAACTTGGGAGAAGGGGTTGGTTCCATTTGGAGATGGAGGAAACAGAGGAAACAGGAGCCAGAACCCTCCTGGAGCTGCAGGGTGAAAGGAAGAGGGAACAGAGCAAATTGCAGGGAGAGAAATTCCAATTATGAATTGGAGCAAAACAAATTTCACAACGGGAGGAGTCAATCACAGAGACAGGTTGCCCACAGAGATCAGTGGAGATAGTGAAAATGGGTCTGGGTAAAGGGCGTGGGCATCCAGGTGACCTCCGTGGGCCATTCCAAGAGACCTTGTGGTGTCTATGTCCTCAGAAATTAACGTTTCACAAAGCAAACATGGGCACTGAAGCACCACAATGGGAAAAAAGTTCATTGGGAAGCAACTGTTGGGATGTGTATGGGAACAGCTGCTTCCCAAAGCTGGGGTAGTAAGGCCTAATTGCTGAACTCATTCTGAAATTTAGGGTAAATATGGAAAACAAATAGTTTATATCGAAGAATTGTGAGGGCAATTTTGCCCTCATCAGCAAACCCATGAATACCTGTAAGTTAATTGTGGAACTCCTGTAATTTTATACCTTTGCCATTATATCTTGATTTTTTCCCAAATTCTTATCCGTACAAGTTGATCTTTACAAGAAGAAAAAGCAATTCCATAGTGTTACTTGTGGTAAAATATTAGTGTGTATTTTTCTGAGGGTAACAAATTTTTTCCCAATTATTATTTATTCCAAATTTTAGATTCCTTTTAGTTTTGGAGGCCTGGTTGGAGCACCACTGGGATGCCAAAAATGCTGCTGCAGCAGGTCATTAGTTAAGTGCAGGATGTTCCCTGGCTGCATTCCAGAGGAGGAACCTGCTCCCACTCATCCGTGGAGAGCCTCCCATGCAGGGCATCCTCAGAGATGACGAATAGCACGTGGAGAAGGTGAAAAACCACGTTGTCCCTGGGAGGGAGGGTCTGGCCAGGCTGCTGCAGTCACAGAGGGACCTCCCCTCCCTGGTATCCCGGGGTGTTTCTATCCCCAGGCCCAGGAGGGTGGGTGGCTCAGGGTTGTCCGCCCAGGTGCAATTAAAGCATCAGATTTTGAAGTCTTGCTCAATTCAGGGTTTGAGAACCAAGGGCTGCCTTTGTTCAGGCTGTGGCACAGCCTTTGGGTGTTTGCCTGGGAAAGGAGATGATGCCTTCACTTTGAGCTTTCATATTTTCCACGCTCTGTACTGCATTGGTACAGAACTCTGAACTCCATGTGAAGTGTCAGCAAGTTCTCCTCACAGCTCAGGCACACAGAACAATCCTGAACCAGCCCAGAACCAGCTCAGGCACACTGAACAATCCTTTTCCAGCCCAGAACCAGCTCAGGCACACTGAACAATCCTTTTCCAGCCCAGAACCAGCTCACGCACACTGAACAATCCTTCTCCAGCCCAGAACCAAGGACATGCTGCAGCTTCAGCCCAAAAAGTGCAAACAGGGAATGGAGGAGAGCAGCCTGGGAGGGTGGGACTGCATCACCTGGAGCTGGAATTGGACAATGAACCCCAACATGGAAATGGACCCAAACTCATAAAAGTGTCAAAACTCGTGAGCAGGAGTCCATCTTGCACTGCCCAAGGTGCATCCTGTGAAGGCCTTTCCATAAATCCCTGCTTTATTCCCGTGCCTCTGCCCAGCCTCTGCTCCAGGCAGCCTCTGAAGACATCAGTGAATTCCCCATTTTGCACCCCTGTGGAGATCAGAGGAGCCTTTCTTCAGCACTGCAGGTATCAGGCCAGGCCAGAGCCCTGCTGAAGATCTTATGCGTTGTCTCAGAAACTAAAAATAAACCCAAGATGCTGTGCAAAGGCTGGAGCTGATCTTTGTTTTCCTTTGTGCCTCCTGATCTCTGGGACACAGTGCCAGGAGTGGTCCTGGGATCCTGCAGGCAGCTTGGGGATCCTTTGATTCCTGTGTCAGACTAATGCCTCAGGTTTGGCTTTTCTAATTTTCAGATTCTGAGCTGCTTCAGTGTGTGGGTCTGGGATTCACATGAGGGGATGCTGAGCTCTCTGCACAGAGTAGAGACAATTCCTGCTCCAGCTGGGCACCAAGGACAATGATCCAAACCTCAGCCCAGGAGCACAAACAGCGTGGGCTGGAGAGAGAAAAACAAGCAGGATGGGACTGATGGGCTGGAGCTGGAATGGGACAATGAACTCCAAGGTGCCAATGGAGCAGAACCGATTAAAGTGAGACCTCATGCCCAGTCATTCATTTCTGTGACCATTTTGGTCCATCTTGGGTTCATTTTGTGCCATTTTGGTTCATCTTGGGCTCACTTTGTGCCATTTTGGTTCATCTTGGGTGTGGCCCTGGCTGGGCTCTTGTGCTGCCCAAGGTGCATCCATTGAGGCCTCTAATAAATCCCTGCTTTATTCTTTTTCTCCACCTAGCTTCTGTTCTAGCTCAGCCTTCACAAGGCATCAAGACCATTGATGCTTCTGGGTTGATTCTTCACAAAAACAAAGTATTAATGGCTTAACACTTCCACTGAAAGGGCTTTGAACAGGACTGATCTGAAATCACCTTAAGATGCAATTTCCAGGTGTTTGGACTTTGCCTTTCTTGCCACACCAAAGTCAATCAAACTGACATTTCAAGAAAGGTCTCGAGGTTTTTTCATGCCTCACAAGGCTGGAGCACGTGCACTGGCTTTCCCTTTATTAAAAATAAAACATTTCTAAAAGAGAAGCTACAACTTATGAAGAAGAGGGATGGGAGGAAGATCAGCACGGAGAAGGGGTGGATATGAAACATTTGGAGCTGAAATCTGTGTTCTCCCCCAGAACCCCTAATTAAACATCAGCTTTTTTCCCCTTTTGCTCTCAGCAAGTGCCTGCTTGCCCAGCTTAGGGGCTGAAGCTCTTGGAGAACAGCAAATTCCTACAGTGACCAATTAGTGCCTCATTAAGGACACCGAGTCTTTATCTGCGAGCATTCCTTGAGCTGAGCAGCACCCAAGAAAGGCCCGGGGGGAATTAGTCAGGCTCTGCTCAGAGCAGATTTCGGGAGGTGTGGTAGCAGAACCCAAAGCCAGGGGTTGAGTGATGGGGATGAATGGAAAGCTGGAGAAGCTGCCCCTTCCCAGGGATCGGTGGGGCACAGGGAAAGGAGCAGGGCCAGCAAAAAATTCTTGTTTCTATAAAGGCAATGACTCTCCTCTCTCAGAAATAAATTAGATCTGAAATTTTATGTCAGAACTTTGGATTTTGCAATCTAAAGTTGGTTTTTTTTCTTGGGGAGTGGGGGGAATTTTGTACATTGTGCAGCCTGAGTCTGTGCATTTGACATTTATCCAGAGGTTTCCAGATTATTTACAGTGCAAAAGGAGAGGAAAGAAGGAAGAGAAGCCCAGGGACTGACTGACACATCAATTATTATGTTCTTGGACAGATGGAGTATGTTAGAATGTGATCTCCTGTGTGTGGAGCCACCATAGTGAATATTTTTTGCTTTTTATCCAATCTAGACAGAGGTGGGAGCCTGACAATTCCCAGAGGAGACATTCACTGGCACTTGGATCCATGGAAGGCCATGGATAATTTGGAATCAAAGCCAACTTTATGCCTTAGAGAGCAGCCACCTGGCAATGAGCTGATTCCTGCAGGGAAAGGGGCAGCTCCGAGCTGAGCTTCATTCTTTTCCTGAATAAACTCAGCCAGTGACTTCCCCCTGAAGCCTCTCTCATTTTCTGCCACCGTGGCACAAATTCTGAAAGGCAAAGATCGATTTAGGCTTTGTCAGGACACCAAAATCCAGCTGAATATTCCACGAATGGAGACTGGGCTGGGCCCAAGCTCAGGAGAGGTTTCAGGGATTGGTGCCAAGGTTTAAACCCTGAGGATCAGGAAGGTTCTGTGGCCTCAGAGCCCTCCAGGTGTGGGCCAGGAGGACTCAGAGCACAAAGAAGCTCCGAGTTCTCCCCTCCTGCAGGCAGGGCTCAGCAGATCCTGCTGCCACGCCCTGCTCCCTGACAGTTTTACAGGCTGGGAATTTGGTATTATTAATTAGTAACAATTCATTTGCCCTACAGACATTGAGACAAAAATAGCGTCTGATCCTCTGGTGCAAAAGTGAACAGCGACACAAACCATTCATAAAAGATCCCAAATAAACCAAATTTTCTTGTTTTCTGGTCTATTTATTATTAGCTCATTTGTAAACAAGCACATAAGTTGCCTTTATAGCCAAAATAAGATATATAAACTTAATAAATACCAACAGGACCTGTAAATAAATTATCAGCAGTTTTCTGAAATATCAGATACTTCACACATTTCAATGTTTAAATATCTTAAATATCTTTAAATTAACACCCATGGCTAAGACTGGGGAAAAGGAAGCATGGTTGCAATGGAAGACTTTAATGTCAGTGATTCTGAGTCCTCAGAGATATTTCAGAGTATTTTTCCCTCCTGGAAGTGAGGGCTCAGTGTTCTGACAAAGGATCCATCCCTGGCAGTGTCCAGGCCCAGGCTGGGTGGAACTCTGAGCACCCTGGGACAGTGGGATGTGTCCCTGCCCACACAGATGAGCTTCAAGGTCCTCCCAACCCAAACAATTCCAGGATTCCATGAAAAATACAAAAATTTCAACTCTGCTTCTGCTTCCTCCCAGAGCTGGGCCCTGGCTCTGCCAGGAGGTTTCCCTGAGCCTCTGTGAGCACACCAACAGCCACTGGGGCACGCCGGGCTACAGAAATCTCTCTGGAAGTCTGATTCCATGAGATCAGGAGCATGCACACCAAGCTCCCAGCTGGAATCCGGGGCGTTGCAGACACTGGGGGTGCAGTTCCAGCTGCCCTGGGGGTTCCTGACCCCTGTGCTGCTCCTGTGCAATTCATCCCACGGAATTCCAGCTGTTCCAGTGCACAGCTGGAGCATGGAGAAGGCCACAGGACTGGCAGGAGGTGACAAATGCAGCTCCTGGCTCCCAGTGCCTTCCGTGCTCCTGGGGGGTGAGAGGAGGCTCAGAGCTCCTTCACACCAGTGCTCCCAGTGCTCCCAGTGCTCCCAGTGGGCTCCAGCCCCACGGAGCCCTCGGGGAGGGCTCTGCAGCTGGGCATCAGCAGCTGTGGGCACAGAGCTGACAGGGCAGCAGGAAACATCCCCAGGGCCCTGCGCCTGCAATTCCTTCTCTTCCCCAATATCCTGGAGGATGGGGATGGCCTGGGTACCCCACACCCAGCTCCTCAGGCAGCCAAGGCTTTCTGTGCTTGCACAGTCCCACAGAAATAAATACTAATAAATAGTAAATAAAGAAATAATTGAACCATTAAACAGTGGAAGACTCAAGCAATTCTTTCAGGAAGTGACTTTCCAAATAAGTTAACACATGCAGTGGTTTGAACAGCAACTGCCATCCCCTGGCCTTGCAAGTCAATAAATAAATAAATAAATAAATAAATAAATAAATAAAACTAAATAAACAATTACAAATAAATAAATTAAATAATAAATAAATACTAGATAAATAAATAACAAATAAATAAATATGAAATAAATAAAGGCACAATAATAATATGCAGGACATACAATAAGAGCTGCCAGCAACCTGTGAAAATCATGTTAATGTAGCATGATGGATAAAAAAAGTGTAACTTGAATCTGGGGGATTTAGGAGCTGCCAAAATCAGGACCACATTCAACTGTTACCAAAAAACAAACAAACAAAACCAAAAAAGACCAAAAAATTTTAAAAAAACCAAGTTATAGCTTCTTAAGAATCTCAAATGGAAACTTTTCTTCCAATTGTGCTTCTGTTCTTGTGCTAATTCATTCTCTGCTTTCTCTAGGAGCACTGTGCCACCCTCCTTCCAGGTTACCTGTGAAATCAGGTCAGGAATTGAATTTCCGCGTGGATTCCCATCGGGGAGCAGGAGCGGCAGCCCGGCTGGGGGATCCTCACCCGCAGAGCGAGGACCACTGGCTCCAGGAGCTGAGGTAGCAGCGGTCCCTGGCCTGCACCCACACCTCTGCTGGCCCGGGGGCTGGCAGCTGCACGGCCTGCTCCTCGCTGTCGTACACCTGGGGACAGCGACAGGGACAGCGACGCTCCTTCAGGGCCAGCCCGGGGCACGGCACCACACAGGGCAGCAGCAAGGGGCACTGAGCCCCCGCTGCTGCCCCAAAGGCTCCGGTGGGTCCCAGGGTCCTGGGGCTCGGCAGAGAGAGCTGGAAAGCTCAGG